GCTTTATTGTTTAGGTGAAAGACTATTACCAAGGTTTTGGAGGAATCAGGACAGAGCTTTCAGTATTGAAAGTATTCCTTCATTATCCTGAGGTTGACACTGAGGATGTCACCGATGGTGATGAGGTCTTTGTATTGTACCGCAAGAGCGTTGTTCTCAGCATAAGTCACTAATGTAGATGTTGAATAGTGAAGGAGTCAACATGGATCATTGAGACAGACCATAATTAAGGGTGTGTGCTTTGCTGATCTGCCCATTCAAGAGAACATAGTACAGTTGCTCAACATTGTGGCCAGGAGTCACATAATGCTACAGCATTTGATGACCCTTCATGCCTTGAGCAACAGCCCATATCTCCATATTGCGTTGTATGCAGCAGATAAACCTGTCAATGCAGTTCCATTTTTTAGATTCCACTGAAAACCAGCCTCAATGTAACTAGTAATGGTGAGAACCTGGTCGCAGCAACTTTGTCCCAGTCTGAAGCTGGCCTGTTCCTTTTGCAGGATGGCTTCAAAGATAGGGGTGAGATGGGCCCGTAATACCCTCTTGTAATGGGGTGCCTGTCTGCCCTCTTCCCATCCTTGGCTGACCTAAGAACTGCTCAGAGACTCATCTTTTAGTTCCCACTCTGTATAATTTATTCAAGTCCCTCCACCAACACCTGTATAGTGCAACACGACAGTCCTAATCCCTATGGGACCTTCATAAGGGCCCTGGAGAGACAAGAGATCTCTTTTCCTTTGGATCACCTTAAATCTGGGCACAGCTAGGCCTGTCCTCCCCACTTACAAGTCTTTCCTGCCTTTTATCAATATTGTCAGCTGACAGACCAATTAATTCTTTAACTCACCGTTCCTCCCCAACTGATTAGCTCATTCCTATTTCCTCAATCAGCTGTCACTGGGGAAATTAATTGAGGCTACAGTGATCAGAGTACTGACTCATCTGTCAGGCCTCAGCACTCTGTCACACCTCTCCATTAATTTATGAGTTTGAATTGGTCTGCCAACCATGCTCGTCCCTTGAGGAATTTGGGATAAATGCCATCCTTGTCAGCAGCTTTTGCACTCTGTGTGACCATAAGGGGCTTATTTATTTCTTCTGTAGTGTATGGGGATGACGGTAATGAAGTGGTGGGGCTATGTTAGATGTTTAGAAAGAGCTCTTTCTGAACGTTCTGTGCAGTACTGGTTCTGCCTTTCATGTTTTTAATCTGTGAATCCCAAGATGTGCTTTTGGGAGGGTGCTAAACCTGGTGTAATATCTATTTTAATATATAATTCTTTATTTCAGTTTGCAGGACATACAGATGTGATCAAGAATCAATATAGAGCAGGCAGTTTTAGGTGTTCAGTTTATGCCCTATGTACATTACATTTGAAAACAATGCCATAGTCCATGTGAGGCATTTTGGGCCTGATCCTGTTTATCCTATTCAAATTCCCATTGAAGTAAGGATTGCACGATTTAGCCTATCAGTTGGTAAAAATGTAATGAAATGGTCCCATAATCCTTGAGATGGTTACATTTCGAAACAGACACAATCTTACTTACATACAAAGTAAGTCCATAAATAAATTTATTCATGTCTGAATATCGGTGACATCATAGCAGAATTTTCAGAAGCCTTCATGATCCATTGTTAACTTTGAGTACTCAACCACTAGTGATCTGCCACAAATCATCCATCCATCTCCTCACTGGTTGTCCCTGACTACGATGACCCTCCCCTATCCCTTCCATAATAACTTTCTCAAGTTTATTTCCATCTCTATGCCTAACGTGACCAAAGTATATAAGTTTGTGTCATGCTGGTGTCTGTTGAGCCACTAATCCTGTGAGAGGACATGGTGCGTGCTATTATGAAATTAAAGCCTGGGAAAGGACCAGGGGAGTGGTAGATAACGTGCCCAAAGAACTGTTAAAAGCAATTGGCGAAAGCAATACTGATTTTATGTGGTAAATTTGTGATGATGTATGGATGACTAGAAATTGGCTGGACAACTGGATGAAGAGAATTTTTCTGACCTTGCCAGAGAAGGGAAAAATAACAGAGGGTAGTAACTATCATCTCATCTCCCTGATAGTGCACACAAGCAAAGTTTTGTTCTACATAATCCAGGATTGCATGAAAAGAAGTATAGCCGCAGAACTACCACCACAAGCTGGTTTCAGAAAGTGCTGAGACACACCTGACCAAATTGCAAATATCCATCAAATCACTGAAAAATGCAGAGAGAACAGTCACCCACTGATCATATGATTCACTGACTATCCCAAGTGTTTGATACTATCTGACATGACCACCTTTGGAGGATATTAGCAAGCCTGCAGATCCAATCTGACTAAACTCAGTGCAAGTATCTACCACCAACAACAGGTGTGAACAGCAGTAAGCCATTTTCCCCTGAGTAGGGTGAGAGACAAGGCTGTATTTTGTCCCCAACCCTCTTTAACATATATGCAGAATTTATTATGAAACAAGTCTTGAAGATTTTTACAAAGTGGAAGGAGCTGGGATTTCCATTGGAGGTCACCTCTTAACCAAACTCACATATGCTGATGACACAACTCTCTTTGCTACAACCATCAACGCAATGCAACAAATGCTGGAGTTTTGTGAGAAATATGGACTATTCATGAATGTAACAAAAACAAATTGTACATACTTTGACACAACAAACAACAACAGGATGTAAGCAGACATCACAATTAACAGACCAGCTGTAGAAGCAGTAGATTATTGAATTATTTGATATCATATATATCCAACCAAGGAGGCTGTTCCAAAGAAATCTGAAGAAGACTAAAGATGGCTCACTCAGCTATGGCTTCCCTTAAGAGAGTGTGGAAAATACATGGCATCTTGAAATATACAAAGGTGCAACTGGTGAAAAGCGTAACTTTTTTCATAGGCTTTATGGATGTGGATCGTGGGATGCTAATGCTGCTCACAAGAAGAAAATTGAAATTTTTGAAATGTGGTGCTGATGAAGACTTACATATTACTGATTTATTTTCTATGAATTTTTCAGAAGTTTTCCCAGTTATGATATATTAATATTTTGGTTTTTTTCTTCCTCTTCAATTTTGTACAAATGTTATATTGATATCTTTGTTAATGTTTGTATACATGCTGAAGTTGAAGATAGGAGTTTTGCATCAGTAAGAAGTGGAGGATGAGTGAGTTGTAAGTGCTAGCGCCTCAATCTTGCAAATACTTATAAATAAGCTTAATTTTAAGCATATGAACAATTTCACTGGTAAACTCCTGGTCCAACTGAAGTCAATGATCAAACTCCTATTGACTCCAGTAGGGTCAAGATTGCACTAGAATCCTGTGTGGGACTATTTTTTAAATTCTGCTCCCACCCCGCCCCGCAATACCCACTTCCACCCGCTCCCACATTTTTTCTTGTGTTTTTATCTCGCTCCCACCAACGAAAACCTTAGATCCTGCAAATCCCGCAAGAGAGACAGATTCCCGCAAGTTACTAAAATAAAATAAAAAGTCAGTATATTCTATATATAAATGAAATTCAGACAATTTTTACCACTAAAAGAATAAAACAAATCTTGCTTAAACCATGTAAAATGTACTTTAACCTCTGTTATAGTAGACACCAAATCTCTGTCCCTCACTTAAATTTAAGTATAAAAAGTTTTAAAGTATTTTCCTGCAAATTACCACAGTCTGGGTTTTTTTGCCCACTCAATCCTGCCCTCAATAAAGTGCATTTTACCCATTCCCATTATTATGCTAGCGGGTCCTATGGGACCAGCAGGATCTGCAGGGTTCTGGATTGCACCTATTGACTTGAGTGGCACTGCTTATGTGCTTCAAGTTAAGTCCACATGTATTTATAGATTTGGGGCCTAAATTTCTTCCTTTATATAGCTGAATTATTATTATATAACTATAAATCAGGTTTTATTTGTATGGTTTTAGATATGAGGGGCATCCATGTTGTGGAGATATATAAATACACAGATATTATATATTTCTTATTTAACTTTATTTTTCAGTATGTATAGCTATGTATCTGTTGTATAAAATAAACGTTATGAATAGATTTGTGTATGAAAGACAAAAATAATCTTAATGAAATTAGTGTGTTGTGTATGAAAATCTCAAGCACACAAGGCCCTGATCCTGCAGTGAACTCCATGAAGCCCAATGTTTTAACTTTACGCATGAAGTATGCAAGATCAGGCCTTGGTATATGAAATGTGTTGTAAAGATCAAATTTATTACATTACTAATTGTTTTGCTTTATTTTTTAATGAATTTACCTACCCAGACTGTCCCCATTTAGAAAGGACCATCCTTATTTTTAGCCAAGCATTTATAATATTCCCTGCTTTGTCTTTAAAAAACAAATTCAGTGTATTTCAGTGGAATTAAAATATTTTAATCCACAAACATCCCTGAATTTGTCACAGATTGCATATATTGGTACATAAGAGTATGAAAGACATTATAGAAAATAAAGTTTACTAATTAGTGTTTTGTGCCTGAACAATGCTTTAGAAAATGAAGTTAATTCACTATTAATAATGGTTATTATTTAAAAGGTAAGATTAACTGCATTTTTGTTAACATACATTTTTATAAGGGACATTAATAAAACCTACTCTCTGCCCCTACCAGCGTGCTTCTATCGAGTCCCCTGTCCTACAGCTGTCCTCCCAGCTGCGCTTAGGACATTCATGCACGCTGCCTTCCTATTGCCTTTCCATTGTGGAGCTTTGCAACAAAGAGTAGGATCCAAAGCATGTTCCATTTCGTCCAATCAGAACAACAAACCCAGAGATAGTTCTGATTGGCTCATTCTTGCATCCCAGTAGCCAATCGGCGTGCTACTTTAACAACCAATCAGCAGCCAGGCTTGCATCCAATCAGCGCTGAGTAAACGGTGCACCGCCTTTGTGTCCTGTGACGGCACGGCGCCGGCGGAAGCCCCAGCCAATGGGGAGGTGCGCCGTTTCCAGGTATTATGAGGTCATCACGCAACCTGCCGCCCCCGCTATAAAAAGCGGGTTCTCGGAGCGGGAGGGCACAGTGAGGGGGGTTGTTGGTTGGGTTGTGTCTCGTACGTTGAGTGGATTATAGCAGCAGTAGCAGCCGGCGGATCCTCAGACAGGCGGTGAGTGGCTGTTCCGGGCAGCGAGAGGCTCCCGTGGGGACAACAGGATGGGCCGACCGGCACCGCTGAGCGCAGCTCCTGGTGGCGTCGGACGAGACCCGCGCGGGACCGTGCCTGACCGGCTTCGGCCCGGAAGAAGCGCGATCCCTTATCTGCTCAGAGCGGGCCTGCCTGAGGTGGCCATCCCGGCTTCCCCTGCTCCGCGGCACCCGCCGCCTGGGACTCGCCGGCCGGCCGGCCGCAGGCAGAGGGAGGCGGCCGTGACTCAACTCTTCCCTCCGAGAAGAAAGGCCACGGGGCGGAGGAGCCGTGACTCCTCCTCCTCCCAGGGGAGGCCGCTGGCTGCCTGCCTGCCGCGCGGGGGAGGGGAGGCAGCCCACGGACATCTGCTGCCTGGGGCTGGCAGCGATTTGCCCACGCCTCTGCGTGGGGAGGAAGAAAGGGGATGGTTTCCTGTTGTCTCCATGCTGGGGAGCACAGACCGTGTGGGGGTGGGTTGTATTGACGAAGGGAGGAGGTTTAATCGTGGGGCTGGGGCTTTCCTGTGTCACACCTGCCTATTTCTCTTCTAGGTAAGTGAGGAAAAATGGCCCGTACAAAGCAGACTGCCCGTAAATCCACTGGTGGCAAAGCTCCCCGTAAACAGCTGGCCACTAAAGCGGCTAGGAAAAGCGCTCCCTCTACTGGTGGAGTCAAGAAACCTCATCGCTACAGGTAAGGCAAGGAACCTTGCTGAGGCGGTGACAAGTCTGTCTGA